AATGATAACCGTGATTAGTCTGACTATTAAGCGTTAATAATGCTCAATATAACTCATAATAATAGCCCAAATAATTATTTTAAGGACCTAATAACATTCCTATAATTATTTGGAAGCTATATTAAAAATTGCGTAAGCGTAGCATACTTACAGCGAATTTTATCGAAAACCGGGACTCTATTGGAGCAGCGTTTCGAAACCGAAAAACTCCTTTTTCTCGGGACTCCGGGAGCCTCGGGGCTTCCTTAGGGTGCTAGGGGTGGTTTGGGGTTGTAGAGAGAGAAAGTAGTGAGAGAAAGAATGAGATTTTGGTGTGAAAAATGAGGCAACCTCGGCCTCCTTTTATAGGCGCGAGGCCCTCGCTACGCGGGGCGTAGATACAAGACTACGTGGCGCGTTCTCGCGGATAAGGGTGCCAGCTCGCAGCCAGCTGTCTCGCACCGGGCGGAGGGGAAGCGAAGGTACGCGGGGCGTACCCGGAACTCGTACGCGGGGCGTAGGGCGAAGCGGCGTGGCGCCTTCTGGACCGAGAGCGAACGGACGCGGGGCGCACGAAGCCGGACGCTGGGCGTAGCGAGGAGCGACGCGTCGCTCATCCGAGCGAGACCGTGGGCCGCAAGCGACGGCTCTGATCGCGCCACGTCACCCGAATTCGCATCAGGCTTCGCATTTTCGAGTTCAAACTTCAAAAATTCGTAACTTTCGCATACGAGCTCCGTTTTTGACGTTCTTTATATCCACGCGAAGGTGGGAACGTACTCTACAACTTTCGTTTAGACTTCGTCGGCTAATTTTGGCTCGATTTTAAATTTTATATTATTAATGGGCCGGGACACGATTGATCCGTTAAATCCTCACAACTTCTTCATCCGACATCCGTTTTTGCCCATCTTTTTCTCGTTACGCTACTCTCAACGAGATCTTCGATTCTCGTTCAGGTCGTGTCGGCTAAAAACCGCTCGATCAAACATTCGAATTTCGGGCAGTACATTGCTAGTCCGAAACTTCGAAAAGGCGTAACTTCTTCATACGAAGTCGGATTTGGGCGTTCTTTTTATCGATGTTCTTAGTTTAACATATTCTACAACTTTTGTTTAGATTTATAAGGCTAAAAGTCTTTTATCGTAAATTTACTATTTTATGTCTTCCGGTGCCGTGCCGGTTTTGCCGTAAAACTTCGGCGGGCCATAACTTCTTCGTTATAGCTCGGATTTCGGCATTTTTTATATGTACGGAAACCTCGAGACATATTCTACAACTTTATGTAGAGATATCGGGATTATCTCACACTTTAATTTTGACGCTCATTTTTATTCTTTGTTAATAATTAAATAATAAACACATAAACACATAATTCACATAATACTCAAATATTTCATATTTATTACTTCAAAAAGAGTTACAATAGTTGACCTAGACTATTACATTGACAAAATGTTTAGCCCTGAAAACCCGGACGTTACATATTCGCACCTAAATATTGGGTCAACACAACTGTTCTAAAAAGTCAATACAACCATTCTATTTGAAACCTAAATTGAAATGACATTTAAACAATATTATAATTCTAAACTTTATTTTATATAATATTTGTATACATAATCTTTTATCACGTTTTCTTTTTTTTCTTTTATATATATATATATATATATATATATATATATATATATATATATATATATATATATATATATGTTATTTAATTTTTTATCTTTTGAAGAAATGAAATATGGTATTTTTTGTAATTAATTTTAAATAAGTATATAAAAAATAACTTATTAAATAGTTTTAAGTCTTTTTTAGAACGAAAATATTAATTTACTTTTTTTTTTCTTTTTAGAACAGAAAGCTTATGTCTTAACCATGACAAATTAACACAATAAACACCTAATCTTCCACTTATTTAAGTATTTAATCCGGTGTTGCCCTTTTCTCATTGAGGTTGAGGTTCAAATTCTGTCATGAATATAGATAGATTTAAGGTGTAATTTAGAAATATGTTATATTTGTTATTAAAAAATATGTATTTAATCATTAAACGATCACACAACTTTACCGATCTTACCAAATTAACACTGACTAACTAAATTCTAAATGTTTTGGTTCCTAAGTCGATGAAAGGTCAAAGTAAATTTCTTAAAAGTTGCAATTTTAATCTCTCTAACCTTAATTTATAATTTAATTTGAGCATATGTCTAAGAGTTTTTTATACAAATAGTACCCTAAAATTAAGAACAATATCAAAATAACAAACAAGTATTAAACTGAGAATTCACCATGTTAGTCCAAGAGACAATACATGTATTTTTTTTTTCAAAAGTTTAGGTATTTTTTATTACTTAACTTTTGGTTTTGTGCGTATTTGGTCACTTAACTATTTTTAAGTTTTAAAAGATCATTAAACTTTTTACTTTGTGCTCATTTAGTCACTTAACTTTTGGTTTGCTTACATTTAATCACTTAACTTTTAGATTTGTGCTTATTTTGGTCACCTAACTTTTAAAATTTAGCCGATTTAGTCACCAAACTTTAATTTTTTTTTTTAAAGTTTAGTGACCAAATGAGCACAATTTTAAAAGTTAGGTGACTAAATGTGACCAAATCAAAAGTTAAGTGACTAAATGAGCACAAAAACAAAAGTTTGATGATCTTTTAAAACTTAAAAAAAATTAAGTGACCAAATGAACACAAAATCAAAAATTAAGTGACAAAAATAACGAAACCCTTTTTTCAAACCATAGAAATGAGGCGCCTCATTTTTTAAATATTTGGCTCAAACTATAAATAATGTAAAACACATGGACCTAAATTTTAATTTATTCATCCTTAAATTCATCAACGGGCGTCAAAACCAGCATCATCCTCACTTTTAGAAAACTAAATCCGGTCCGCTGAAACTACTCAAAAAAAATCAACGGCTGTAATCCACGATCCTCGACAACAGAAATCATCCAATCAGATCACGCCTCACATTCCGTATAAAAACACAACTCTCCCTCCATTCATTATCACAACGAACAACAATCATCTCTCTTTTTAGAACATCACTCTTTCTCAACAAACCAAAGTCCCTACAATGGCGCCAAAGGCAGAGAAGAAGCCGGCTGAGAAGAAGCCAGTGGAGGAGAAGAAACCAGCTGAGAAAGCCCCTGCTGAGAAGAAGCCAAAGGCCGGGAAGAAGCTCCCCAAGGAGGCCGGCGCTGGTGCTGTTGACAAGAAGAAGAAGAGAAACAAGAAGAGTGTGGAGACATACAAGATCTACATCTTCAAGGTGCTGAAGCAGGTTCATCCTGACATCGGTATCTCAAGCAAGGCCATGGGTATCATGAACTCGTTCATCAACGACATCTTCGAGAAGCTTGCTCAGGAATCTTCGAAGCTTGCGAGGTACAACAAGAAGCCGACGATCACTTCCAGGGAAATTCAGACGGCGGTGAGATTGGTTTTGCCCGGGGAGTTGGCAAAGCACGCCGTTTCCGAGGGGACGAAAGCTGTAACCAAATTTACCAGTTCCTAGATTTGGGGGTTTAGGGTTTGTATCGATGTTCAGTGTTAGGGTTTGCTTATTGTGGAAATTTCATCTTTCTCGATGAATTATGTCGGTATCAATGAATTGGACTTGGTTATATAGTGTTGTTAAACATTTGAATCCTGTTGAGAGGGTTGGTTTTAATTGATTGTGGTTTATGTTACAAATATTTTATCATCTTCACTGACTATTTACAACGTTTCAGTCCAAAAAACTTAAATTGGCAGATGTTCTTGTTGTTGTGATGTGCATGCTCAAAAATGATACATTACCAGCACCACCATAACCATCCGTCACTCTTCACCATCATGGAACCTAAATACTGAACCCGACATACTCTCGTTTCCTTGATGAGAAATTTTCATCCTTGTACATCTTTTTTCATGGAAGACAAAGAACATCGAGTTGTAGATTATGGTTTTACATCCAGAGCTTAGAATTTCTTGACTTTCGGGTTTTCTAGTTGGATTGTTTTTGTTCATAGATTTTTTTTATGGGTTCAATTTGATATCTTACTTTGGGGGTTGAATGATTTTTGTTTGAGATTCATACAGTTCATCATCATGGCTAAGAACAGTTTTTTATTTATTGCATTACATTCCTGCTATAGATTAATGATATGAAACGCTACTTAAATACATGGTTGATGAAGTTACATATGTTTAATTTATTGTATCAAATGATATTTTTCTGTATTTTTTAGGAGGTATACGTTTGTGTTTCTTTTATTCGTGGCTTAGATGACATTGTTGATTGTCAATAATACTCAATTCTGCTTTGATTGTGGTGTCTGTTTCCCTTGGGCGAGTCCTGCTTAATGCCATTCCCCTTCATTTTCTCGCGCATGACATCCTATGTAATGGTTAGAAATTTGACTTAGGGCATGGAGTTGGTATTCGAGATTCCATTCGAGTCCCAAATGGGACAGAATTCAATTTTGTCATATTCCTTTAAATTCCATGTTTGATGGATTCCAACGGTAAGGAATTTGATTGAAGACCTTAGGACGTGTTTGGTTCATCAGACATGATTGGAATTCAAGATTCCATTCCATAGTGTATGTGGTCGTCAAATGGACGGAATCCAAATTCCTCACATTCAATGTTTTGTAAGACCATATGAAAAATTTGCAAGACAAAATTGCAAGTTTGGTCCATGTGGTACGTTAAAAATTGGATGTTTGGTTCAAAAAGTTTTGGGATTGCACCGATGGTCCAAAATGTTTGATTTGTTATGGAATTGGTTTAAAGGCTTAACAACTGTTTGTGCTCTTCATTTGTGTGAGGATATCTCTGTCCAAAACGATTGATCTTGTAAATTATTTGTCAAACAAGGATAACTTTTGAATAAATTAAATTAAAATTTGAATCCACTTTGACTTTTGACCGGTCAAAATAGGAACTGATTAGAAAGTGGTCAAGGTTTTTTTTTGTTCATCATTTGATCGATCGTCAAGGGGAACACAAAGGAAATGAATACAGAACATGAAGGGAAGAACGAAGGCATAATCGATTGGGGGGAAGAGGAGATTGGAATGAGAATGAACCGAAGGCAGTCAAGAAGAAGGCAAACGAAGTCGGCGAATGTTCGACCGTTCTTCTGGCTGAAGGAAGGGGGTCCGATGGCTTCTGATTTTTCGTCGATTGATTCGCAATCGGTGATGGCCTCCGGGATTCGACTTAGACCGAAGAAGAGGAAGGGAAAGGAGGAGGCAACAAGGGGTGTTAGGAGGTGGTAGTCGATGAAGAGAGACAACCGAGCCTATTAGATCAGCTCTCGCAGGATAAGAAATCAGTTAAGGAGGCCACTGGAGCAACCCCCTCGCCATCACTGCTGTTGACAACAGCCACCACCGAACCACTCTTCTACTTTCGTTTTCCTTTTCCTTGTCCAAACAAGCCAAGCACAGGTGGTGCCCTCCATGGGATCGGCAACTGCTAGCTTTCATTCCCTTTTCTTCTCCGATCAGACACGAAGGTGAAGAACCCATCCTTCATCGTTTGTGTTACAGTACCAAAACAATCATCGATTTTTGATTGCTTCCGTTCGTTGGTTCTTTCTTAATCTGATGAAGATAGAGTCTTTTTCCACGATTTGTTAAGATGATGACCATGTTGGCCCCTTTACCCGAATTTTGTATCAGATTGGCAAAACCAATCCCTCTAGTTGTAGCTTTAAATTAAAATTAGCCGCTTGGCATAAATCTTTTCAAAGCATGTCCTAATTTAATAAGATTTTAAAAGAGTGTGAATTGATAGAAATACCCTCACATAAACGGAGGGCACAAACCGTTGTTAAGCCTTTGGACCAATTCCACAACAAATCAAACCTTTTGGACCACCGTTGCAACCCCAAAACTTTTTGGACCAAACATCTAATTTTTAACATACCACAGGGACCAAACTTGTAATTTTGTCAATTTGCAAGTACAATGTCATAATTAGCATGGCTTGCTAAATTGACATGTGTCAATAACTGAGTTTTATAAGAGATTTCAACTCGTTTAAGTAAACAGTTTGACACAAAAATTCACTGAGACCATACAACCGTATCTAACCATAACAAAAATCTCTTATAAACAACTACAAATCAACATGAAATATTTCGAAGGAGATTGCTGTTTTGACATGTAGATATTATTTATTTCAAAAATACAACAAAATTAAAATGATTGATTCACTAACCTTAAAGATTTGATTTGGTTTCAAATTTTCAACAGATTAAAAGAACAAACACAGTTCAATTTATGGATCCAAGGAAAACAATACCAAATCTAACCATTTACAAATCAACAAAAAGGTAAATATCTATCTATAATTATTCTCATAACAAGTATATTAACACATTAACTTACATTTGGTACACCATTTGTCACTCATACATGTGATACTCATTCACACTATGGTGGGTGGAAATAACAAGAACAACAATAATAGAAACCAAACGGATTGATATTATTAATATAAGCATTTTAACAAAGTACATTGTTTTCTAAATACTTTAGTTCAAACTTATACAATACATAATAAAAAATAAAAATAATTAAATAAAGAAGCTAAAAAAGATTATTTCTTGGAATAAGTCTGATAATCAGGTCCAACATCACGTGATCCGGTATTGATATAAGGTCCTCTAAAAGTTGCTTGAGGTGGCAATGGTTTTGATGAATCAATAACAGGGGCATTTGATGATGATCTAGTCCTGTATTTTAACATACATTTTAATGTTTAATGTTTCAAGAAAGACTAATAATTAAAGAATAAATGAACCAAAAAGCAATGTGCTTACGCCATGTAAAATGGAAAAGCTAAACCTGCACTTGCAAAAGCTACCAAGCCTGTTGCAACTAGTATGTTACGTGTTCTTGACATCAAGATCTTTAAATGCAGACTAATTTAAAACAATCTGTAAATCAAGAAAAGGAGACTGTATAAAATTCTGTAAATCAACAAGAATTAGTTCTCAGTAATCATAAACAGATGCATAATTCTGATAATTTCATAACCAAGATCGATTCTTTCCATGTCAAGATGCGTATGTCATGACCTAAGACTTCAGGTGGCCGATTCTCAAAGAGGAAAAATGAAATTTTAATCATTTGAATTATTGAGAATTTGGAGTAATTGCACAACCGATTGTCCTCATAAGAATCTAGATCGGCTGATTACGAAGAACTTAAAATGGAAACAACAAAAGAAATGCTTCGGATATTTAAGTTTAATTCGAAGCTGTTGATAAGAAATTGTCATGCTTTTAACAGCGGAAAAGATGTGCGTGGCAAATCAAAGCCCTAAAACGAGTCTTGTTATGAAAACTAAAATAAGCCCTAATCTGTGAAATAAGCCCCAGAATAAACCAATGTTATGAAAACAAAAATAAGCCCTAATCTGTGAAATACTCTAATATCTATTCATGGAATGAAGACACTAAAACCCTAAAAAAAATTCACTCACGATCATGCTTATACGTATATAGACATCATAGAATCAAAGCGAAATAAAGGATAATCAGATTCAATAAGGATTTGATTTACCTGGTGGTGAGAAGATGCGAAGCTAAAGCTGCTTTAGAAAGCTATGAATTGCGACATGGAATTCGAGGGAGGCAACAGTTTAAGTGTAGTACGTGTACCAGTTGACGGTTCCCAATTTATTTTTGGATTAGCGGATTTATTCGCATTTTCAGTAGAATAAAATTTTAACTAATTTTTTAAATAAATATATATTATTAAAAGAAAATAATCGGAAAAATCTTAATATTTCACCATAATTTACGAAAAAGTCATAAACATAAATTGGTTTACGAAAAAATCCCGATCACCGGAAAAATTATGATTTGACCTTTTTTTTGGTGTATCGGTTTTAATACTTACCCGGTTTCATTAAAATCTAATTATTTTACTATAATTTTCGTTAAAGTTCCATTATTTTACCATAATTTGGGACTTATTCGTAAGTTAAGATAAAATAACGAGACTTTATTAAAATTGGGTAAGTAATGAAACCGAGAAACCGGGAAAATATGGCAAAATCATCATTTTTATCGGTAATTAGGACTTTTTCGTAAACAAGTTTTAGTTTGAGATTTTTTTTCGTAAATTAGGGTAAAATATTGGAACTTATTCGGAGATTTCCCTTATTAAAAATATGTTGTTCGACATTAACAATAAAAACGAGATAGTGACATACATCGGACCTCATTCCCTTTGTAACCAGAAGTACGTGAAACCATAAACATAAAATTGTAAGTAAAAAACTTAATGAGTTCTCAAAGATACCACATACTATATATATATATAAAATGAAGATTGTTATGTGTCATCCATAGTCTTACAGTTACTATCATGCCGTGAGCCGTATCATGGTCTTTTCTTGTCATGTTGGGGGCCAAAACTCGGGTTTTTCAAACAAATGTCAAGATCCATCTCCTGGTCTTTCATACAAGTATCACAAAAACAACTCTACGTATAACTGCCAAGGTCAAGACCCTGGTCTTGCATACAACATGTGGGGAGCCATATTCAGGTCTTTCATACAATTTTCAGGGGTCACCACTTGGTCTTCCTATATAACATAATGCATTGGACCGACATTGGTGCCTTCGACCCACAAGTACGGTGAGGAGACTCACTTGAATCACATCGCCGACTAAAACCTCGCTAAAAGTCGCACCTACCACAACCACTAGCTCTCAAGACTAAAAGATAGGTAGTAAACACATCCTAACAATCCAAGCAAGGCAAACCCTAAGTCTACCTTCTAAAAACAAAAATTTGACCAAAAGTCAATCAATACCAAAAGTTAACTGTCAAAGTTGACTTTAGTCAACTACCACGTCATGGACATCTATACAATTGAACAGACGGGCTTATGTGGTGCAAAAAATATTACCTATCTATCTTTAAATTTATAACCTAACTACTTATCTAATTATGCACCTATAGGTAGTGGACCTAGTCGGATTATAGTATAGTAAAGTAAGTTGGGTGTCGAACTCATGGAACGGATTTAATTAACTAAATTAACTATTAAATATTAATCTAAATCAAGCAATAATTTAAAGCGGGGGGGGGGGGGGGGGGGGAGGGGGGTACCTGATTTTTCAAGTTCAGAAAAACTTAAACATTCAACAAATACGATTATAATTAATATATCTAAGGGGTCGTTTGGTAGTTGTTAATTAGGTTAGAGCTGACTAGGTTAGAAGTTCTGACTAAATTAACTTATGATCAAAACTTGTTGTTTGATTTTGCATCCAACTGACTGTGCAAAATGACCATATTACACTCAAAGAACATTTTTTATAATAATTCGTTTGATTTGTGTCACACCCCCAAACCAGATTGCGGACACGTCCGGGGTGGATGACTTCATTTGTAGTATCACAACACATGCATTATAGAAATCAAAGTACAAACAACCATTGCATTAATAAGTAAAACTTTATACATGTGTTTAATCATTGTATATTGACACCAAACTAGTTATAGCAAAACATAGAAGACTTGACTCAAAATAGCTCCATCTTCTCAAAAGCCCCGGGACTGATTCCCTGAGAATACAAGTAATTTGAAAAGAGAGTATCAACATAAAGTTGAGTGAGTGCATAAGTGTTTATGTTTGGAAGCATGTTTCCTGTTTCTTGAATATGTAAACTTTACAGAAAATCCTATATTTTCTTCTGTATATGTAGAGTAGTTTTAAATCACATAAAAACCGTTATGTTTGTAAACCAATATTTCGTATTTGTATTATTTTTTATAACCCGAAAAAGTGAGTGTTCCTAGCTTCACCAGCTATTATTGTAAACCAAGATGTAATATTGTAAACTGTATTTTAGTAAACTGATACTTTGAAAATGTACTCATGTTTAGTTAATTATACACTAACCGTATTATTAATATCTTTTTAATGAGTTATTATAAACATACTGAGACTAGATGGCTTAAAACAATGCTTTGAAGGCGTTAAAAAAACTGGTGATAACAACTGTCACTCATAGACGTGTATGCCCGACTGTAGCTAGCAGTCTGAGTGCGGGGTTGTCAATCCCAATATAGATCTATACACAACTTGTTTTGATCCCCTGATTGGAGATTCTGGTTATAATATCAGGACTTTAAATGTGTTGTTTTAAATGAATAAACAACCTGAATCTATTGACTCACCCAATCATTCTGAAACAAATGATTCATTGTACATTCTTTGTTTAGTATACTTGACATACATTGTAAACTGTTCACACATGTTTAGTTTTTAATCAAATCCTTGTTCTGTGTAAAATAGTGTGTTATTGTATTGTATACTTGACTCGTGAGTTAGTGTTCTTGAATCATAAATTATACCTATTATAATTTATATGTACATTCTATATTGATACTAACTTTTCATGAATGCAACCCCTTGCTCAACAAGTTACAAAGGGTATTCAAACTGAATAAA